CTTGTTTTTGTCATTGCCCCGCCCCCCCCGCCTGGTCGGAGGGGGCAGAATACATGCAAAATGCGGCCTTTTTCAGGCCGACTGGTTTTTCTCGGGCGCTCATGCACGCGGGGTGGCGCATGCATATAAAATAAAATAAATGTTTCTTGTTAAAAAAACTCCGAAGATTTCAAAAAAAAAATCGAAAAACAGATCGGACACGGTTAAGGGCCCGTACAAATTNTGCATGTAGGATACCATGAGGATTGTCATTGTTTTTTTTTTCAAATTGAAGAGGAGATATTTTTACGATGTAAGTGACAGTANTCATGAACAGAGAAGAAAGGGCTTTTCCAACACGGAAATGTAGCATGGATCAAAGCATTTGTTGGATTTCAGCTTTTACAAGAGGATATCAACGCAGTAGTATTTTAGCAAGCTTACGAATGCATGTAGGATACCATGAGGATTGTCATTGTTTTTTTTTTCAAATTGAAGAGGAGATATTTTTACGATGTAAGTGACAGTAGAAATAAGTCCTACATATGTTGTTGACCTTCGTACAGGCTGGTTCAGGGAAATGGATACAACAAGATTCAACAGCAAAATTTCACGCCGTTTTTAGGAGTTAGACTCTGAAACTTTGCACACATGTACCTTGGGTCATTAGAAACGCTGTGTGGTCGGGCCTTTTTTTTCCCTGTCGCCGGATATCCGGGGTCCTAGAGATTTCGGCGTCGTGTGCGGCTCCTGGGACCCCGGATAACCGGCGACCATGGAAGAAAATGAAAAAGGTCCCGCCGCACAGCGTTTCGTATTGACCCAAGGTATATGTGTGCAAAGTTTCAGAGTCTAACTCACAGAAACGGCGTGAAGTTTGCAGCTCCTGTGCCATGAAGTATTTCGCATCCTGGATTTCCCCAAACTACTTGATTAAAGTATGAAACGGCGAAATTCATCAGTTTATCGAATTAGTTCATGAAATTTCATAGACACTGTCTTTGGAATATATAGGTAAGGTGAGATCAAGAAAAAAAAAAATCACATATTGGGACAGATTTTTGGGGTCCCGCCGAAGAGGCTATCTCCAACGCAGTTTGGCCCACCGACGGCAAGTCATAAATCGACCATTTTTCAACCGTATTAGGCCAGTTTATGGGCGATGTCGACGAAACTCCATGCGAAGCTTCATTGCACTGTAACGGTGTCGTTGACGGTGTCGTTGGTTAGAGAAAGAATCACAAACAGCCATGTTACCGGCATGTTGGGGTCTGCAAGAATCTACCTAC